TTACTTCACAATATTAGGGATGGGGTGATGTGGGCTTGTCTGGAGAAATTTTTGTTTATACACAATTGGAAATAAATATAACGTTGTCCTCCAACGAGAGGGGGTGGTGGCGGGACAAATATATATATTTTTTTTAAATATCAGATCCTTGGCTGGCAAACCACTATTAATTAATAATTCTATTATCAAGAGAAACCTTGATTTTATGTTTCGAATTGAAATGTGGTCAAATGAAAATAATGCAGCAGTCCTTACTGAATCAGTTTCTCCAGCTTTCTTTTTTATCAGTGATATTTTAAGGACCCCCGGGCATCCATGAAACATTGCCAGGGGCTCTGCAAAAAATATAAAATTTGGATAGCAACAGAGCACCTGGGTGGAGTGGATGAAAATTTCTGCTCATCACTCATGGAGCAGTACGTTCCCCTCGCTCCCAGCCACTGCAGACCACTCCGCTCATTATCGCTCCGAGCCACTGCAGACCGCTCCGCTCATTATCGCTCCCCACTGCCAGCCACTGCGGACCGCTCCGCTCATTATCACTCCGAGCCACTGCAGACCGCTCCGCTCATTATCGCTCCGAGCCACTGCAGACCGCTCCGCTCATTATCGCTCCCCACTGCCAGCCACTGTGGACCGCTCCTCTCATTATCACTCCCAGCCACTGCAGACCAATCCGCTCATTATTGCTCCCCACTGCCAGCCACTGTAGACTGCTCCGCTCATTATCGCTCCCAGCCACTGCAGACCAATCCGCTCATTATTGCTCCCCACTGCCAGCCACCGTAGACTGCTCTGCTCATTATCGCTCCCCGCTTCCAGTCACTGCAGACCACTCCACTCATTATCGCTCTCCACTGCCAGCCACTGCGGACAGCTCCACTCATTATCGCTCCCTGTTCTAATTCATTTTCAGCCCGCTCCAGTGAAATCACTCATGCCATGCATGCATGTTGCAAACCTATTGGGGTCACACATGTCAATTGTTCTCTCTGATTGTGGTAAACACACTAATCAGCTCTTGTATTAACAAACAATTAGTCATGGATAGGTACTTGTGTTCGGAAGACCACAAATGATCTTTTGTTTTAATTTGTTAACAAATGAGGTCATGAAACCAGCCAAGCCAAAGTGACATCTGACTACGAAACACCCAGAGCTTGCAAGCAAATGAAATGCTTTTTTTGAGGAATACACCTGCCAGAGAAGTAAAATGTTAAATACTCACAACAATTTCAGAAAAAGCACTGAAACCTCATGCTTGGTGGCTATTCAAATTGCTAAAAGTAAGAAAGTGTTTTCAGTTGGAGAAGATCTGATCCTACCAACTAACAATTGAAACATGTGAAGTTATGATTGGGACTGATGATGCTTGTAGGCTGAGAAATGTACTGATGTCAAATGAACTGAACTGAAGAAATTTCAGCTGAAAATCGCTTGCAGCTCCTGGAAAGACTGCGTTCCTGTGACCACTTTTCTATTCAGTTAGATGAATCGACAAATGTAGCTAATGCAACTCAATAAATGGTGTTAGTTTCTACCAATGAGAAAGAAGACTTTCCACTTTTTGTCAGGGAGGACATCAGGTAAGGAATTATTTACAATTTCATGACAGAAGCAGGACTGAGCTGGGAAAAATCCATCACCGTTTGTAGTGACGGAGCAGCTGAGTAATGGGCCAGAAGAGCGGAGTTACTTCAAGGATTAAAGCTGCTAACCCAAACATCGTACTTACTGCATGCTGCATCGGCCAGCTCTTGCATCTGAAGGCATGAAAGCAGAACTGCACGCAGTTTTGATCACAGTTGTGATTACCGGGAATTTTATTGCTTCCTGAGCTTTGCAGTCATGTTTGC